TATTATTGTTGTGTTCTAATGGTGACTTGGGACAGTGTTTTTAATTTATCTGATATTCTGCCATTCTTTGTCGAGCAGGAAACTAAAGACAAAGTAGATAATCAATAAATACTTAACTATAATTCAATTTCAAGAAACATTTATGTGAAATAAAATAAGATAATGAAAGGTGGATAAGTTCAAGGCAAATATGAATTTTGGCAGTTGTGCTGTTCTTATGTCATATGTCTTGATTAATGGAATGGAAATAGAAAGAACAAGAATTAATTACCTCACCTCCATTCAAGCTGGAATAACTTCCTGGAAAAATACAAACAATACTAATAGTTGTATAGTGCCTCAGGTTTACAAAGTGTATTCACACTCATCATTTAGGGTCTCAGAAACTCTCTGAAGAGAAAATCTTCAGGTGATAGAGATTTTTTTTTAAATTTCAATTTGTGAAAAGACAGTATTAAATCAGGAATTGGAAACTAGACATAGAAACTACATAAAGCTAACAAGAAAAAGAAAAGAAGAAACTGATGCAATAAAAAAATGACAATAATGTGGGTCCGGTGCAAGGCTTTAAGCCAGGTGCTAAAGTTGATTTCATGCATCATATGAAACGAAGACTATTTAGATGACCAAAGATAACGCATACATGGTTAAAATAATGAAGAATGCATTAAACGAAGCATGAAGAATGGACTGCATGGGAATATGCAGGGGAGGTAAGAAATGAATAGAATCTTCATGCATGTATTCATTAATTTCCTTCATTGGTCACCTCCATTTTCCCAGTGCCTTTAACAGTTTTCCTAACCTAAAATATTTGCTGAAGTTCTACCATGTGTTGTACATAATGTTAGACATTCGGAGATGTAGATCCCAAATAATTAGATATGGTCCCTTCCTACAAAGAATGTGCATTCTAGTCAGAAAGGTAAAATAAATACATATATGAAAAGTTAAAGAGCAAAACAAGGCAGAAGGGGCCAAAAGAACAGTGGAAAGAGTAAAAGCTACAAACAGTCCAGAGAAAGAAGAGATCACTGTGGAATGACCTATTCAGGAAAGGCTTTGTGAAAATAAGGGACATTTGCTATAGGCCTTCAGAAATTGGGTAGGGTAGGTGGTGAGATTTCAACAGGGCCAAGAGAAAGGCATTCAAAGGAGAGATATACTGGCCGAAGGAAGGGAGCACTTTAAGGAGACAGTGAAATCAAGTAGGGCTGCAATAAAAGGTGTATGTTTATAGGGTACAAAAGGTAAGCTGAGCTTGAAATGTGAAAGGTTTTGAATGCCAAGGTGAGGAGTTTGAACATTTTCTGTAAGCAATCCAAGAATAATCAAAGTTTTGGGGCAAAAAGTGACACGAATATGATATTTTAGAAGTGTTAAGCTGGGTTTGGGTTTGCATAATAAATGGTATCCATCTTGATTAAAGATACGGTTATAACAGTAAAGAGACAGGCAAACAAATAAATAAAGCACACTGAATATGTAACAAAGAGGTGCAGACGGGAGCAAAATAAACCTACAAACAAAAGATTAACCCAAGATTTCTTTGTTAGGAGCAAGAAAAGCATAACATCACAGAACAGAGAGGAAGTTAGGCAAAGGGTAAATTCCAAGGTATGAAGAACACTCCTATTTTTATTCCTCCATCATCACCATGTTTGTATGAAATTCCAGTTGCCTAAGCATAGAGCAGAACAGGTAACTGTATTAAAGGAGTAACGAAAGAAGCTCCAAAAGTGATACGTAAACAATGGGTTTAGAAAGAGAAAATGCAGTTGCATTGAAGCGCTTAAAAAGTCTTTGAAAAATAGAAGCCACATGACTTGTTAATTGCACTATTAATTTAGGGGGAAATGATAACAATTTCACATCAAGATAGCAATATAAATAAATTAACCAAAAAAAGTATATTTTACCTAAGTTGGAACGATGCAGTTCATTTTAATCTTCGTATATAACAAAATTAAAAAGATTAGTCTCTTCTCTCATTATCACACACACACACACAAAAGCCACCCTATGTTCTCCACCTCCGTTCCTTAAAGACAAGCCTCCCTACAGTCTCTTAGTCGGCTCAAATAATTCCCCAAATCTATCTTTTCTTTTGTATAAATGTCTGTCTCACCAAATCTTATTCACTTTTTAATCCCACTTTAAATTTTCTGAAATTAACAGTAATCAAAGTAAGAATTCTTAACCTTCATATAGTGCTTTGTCATTGACAGGACATTTTACACACATTACCTCTTAGAACCCTCACAAAAGCAATGCACAGAAGGTATAATCATCATTCATGTGTAATAGAGAAGCAGCAAGCCCAGGGCCACACATTTCATAAGTGATAGAGCCAGGCCTGCAATGCAGGCTTTCTAAGTCCAAATTCCATATTCTCTTCACTACATCATTCAGTTTCATAATGTGTGTTACTCAAAATGTATGTTATTATACTATATTACGTTTAAGTCATTATATCTTTTTTGTAATAAGGCACTTATACCTAAGTGACTATTTACTAAGAAGACCTAATTATTTTAAGATTCTCATGATGATGACAACTATCACTAATTGAAAAGGAACAAATGAAGTATAATGTTTGCAAAATCACTGAGACTATACCAAAAAACAATTTTGCCTTGAATTCTGCAATGCAACATGCAACAACAAAGACAACATGGGTGATTTAAGGATATGTGAGCATCAAAGGGCAGAAATAGGGCATTCCCACTCTCTTTAACTCTGCTAAGGCCTCAAATACTGATATAGTTCAGAGCATCTTATTACCAGGGAGACATAAATCAAAAGGGGTTCAGCTAGGAGCAATAAAACAGATTAGTGTCTGGAAGGACTGACTTTAAAGAAAGTTTTAAGAGAATTAAATCCAGGTAGTCTAGATAAAAAACAGCTATGAGGAAACCTTTTTTTAAAGCTGACATTCATACCAAGAACAGAAATTATTTTGAAGGTAGGCGTCTAAAAAATTCAAAAAGGAATAATCATAAATACTTAGGGAATTTTTATAAAAGGAAATTTCAGGATAAATTTGCTGGCAAAAACCTATGGGACAGAAGAACGCTCTCCCACAGGAGTGGTGAAAACTACATTCCTAGAGATATTTAATACCAGATTGGACAAAACAAGAAAAAGATTCCATCTGGAATGTTCCTGCACTGGCCCCTGAAGTGGTGGGAGGATTGAAGATGATCCCTTAGATCTTTTCCATTTCTGATTTTTTTTTAATTCTATGAAGTTTTATGGGCACAGTCTTTTGCCAATTTCCTTTCTCCCCAAGATGCCCACTTTCTCCTTTTACAAAGGGAAGCAAATTGTATCCTTCATTTTAAGCTGATCTCACTGTTCTCAATGAATCGGTAAAATAATCCTAGATACAAGTTTGGGAGAAAGGGGCCAATTCCTATAACTTATAATGGTCCTTTTTATCCCCCCAGTGGTGCCTGGGGCTCTTACAAGTTTTCCTACAAACTAAACAAGTAGTTCAAATGGATTGGAAGAAGAGCTGTTTCATCAGGAAAACCATCAATATTCTCCCTTCTTGGGTCTGATCACAGAGCTGACAGTGACCCTGGGAGTGATAAGGCCCTGGGTCAAATTACCATCAGAGCTGCTGGTCAGGATTATCTTTTACCTTTCAGCATTTTATGCTGAGTGACAGCAAAATCTACTTGCAATCCACATTTTTATGGCAATGACGTTTATCTTTGAAAAGATGTAGCCTTAAACACCTACACACTTTTGGCAAATGTTATAAAAGAGTTAAGTCCTATTCACACTTCAAACCCAAGAAACCTCAGCCTTGCTCTCTTTCTTCATTCTGTCACTTAAAAAAAAAAAAAGTTGCTCAGCCACCCTTGAAATAAACCCCAGTATCTCTCCAGAATTTCCATTCAGTGAAAGCCCCAGAAAATACAACGGCATTTCCTCGTTTTGCTGATTTATAAGGACAAGATGTAACAAAATCCAGGGAGCTCTGAGAAACTGTCCCTGAACCCTTTAAAAATAAAACTGTAGCTCACTTATGAGAAGGAACAGCAGGACAGCGATAGCCCTCCAAGGATGGACGCTGATACCGCTCCTATCCAATCTAAACAGCCTCAGTGGCTGAGGACCCACCAAGTCCCATTTTCCCTATTTGAAAGAAAGTATGTCCCTCTACCCACAAAGAAAATTCATGGATATTAACAGCAAACCCTGTAAACAAAATTTTTTAAATGCCATTTTCATTTTTTCCCTAGTGAAAATGAGACTGTTCAAACCTAAAGATTGGCCTCTCACAATGGAATAGGATTTGGAGGTTTCAAAGCCCATCACTTGAACTCATCTGATCCTGGCAGGAAAGAAGGCGGGCATTTACAATCCCATTTTAAAACAGGAAAAAAAAATGCGACTCTGATGTTAGACAGTCTGCAAGAGAACCCACTGCAGAGATTTTCAAACCTTCCTCAACAAGGGACCAATCTAAAAGGGGTTATTCCAGAAACGTGAGTTTCCAAGAAAGGCTGAATCCTCATCTCAGGAAAGCAAGAAATAAGAAAAATGGGCACTTTTTTTCTAGAATTTTAGGAATGAAACGTGAGCCTGACCCTTTAGTAGCTTGTGAACGTGTTTGAATTTTCTCAAGAAACCCACTGCATCTTCTTCCCACGGGACTAGCCTGCCAGTTTGAGCTACCGGTTGGCGGCCTCAGAACCGGGCAGCCCAGCGGAAGGCCGGCAGCCAGAACCAGGACAACCTGGCGAGGCCCCTTTGCGTAATCACGTCTAGAGTTCTCCACACTCCGGTGTATCCTGGTCCGCAGCTACCAGCTTTTCGGGGGCAAGGGGGGGATGCGGGAGTGGGCCCCTACCAGGCCCTCCACAAAATCTGCCCCCACCACACCCACACCCCCCACACACACACACACACACACACACACAGAGCGAATGCTGGCTCCCAATCCCCAAACTTCCCCACCGCGCAAGAATCGGAAGCAAGTTTCTTACCATCCTCATAGTTTTTGAGATAATAATCCGGACCGGGGCCCCCGCGGCTTTTTGCCGGGTTCCTCAGGTTCTGGAACTGCAGAAAGTCGGTCCTTTTGCCCCCGAAGCGCAGAAAGGCGGGCGAAAGCCCCCGGGCCAGGGTCACCAGACGCTTGGAGCTGCAGGGGTAGAGAAAGAGAGAGGAAAATATCCCGTGGGGAGGCGAAAGGCCGCGGGGCACTGAGCAAGACCCTCCTCACGCTCTGCTGGCGACTTAGCCGGGACGAGAGGGCTCTGCGTCCTCCCCGGCCCGCCGTCCTCACGGGCCCCTGGCGGCTCCTCGGCGGCTCGCGTGCGCCCCGCGCCCCTGCCCGCCCTGCCGTCCGCCGCCCAGCTCCCAGCCGTGGCCCCCTCCCTCAGACACCCCGACGCTGCTTGCCAAAGGTACTTATTTCCAAAGGGTTAGATTGTGTTTGCTAGCAGTGTGCATGGCGTGGTGGGACCCTTCTGAGAACGCAGGGCTAAGGTGCTTTTGCGGGCCCCTGCCACTACCGGGAACGCGCTCCAGACTGAGACGCGCAGCGCGCGGACCGCCGGGCTCCGACTTCTGCCAAACCTCTAGGTTGAAAGCCGGGATCTGCCTCCTCGGCCCCAGGGGCACCGCAACCTCTATGAAGGTGAAACCTGCCGTCTTTCTCTCAGAGCAGGCACCTGAGATGAAGTATATTCTAACTTGTTTTTATTAATGCCAAAGTTGATTTTCCTTTTCCACTACCTTACAGCAACCGTATCCATCCCCCAGGTAAATGCTGGCCTTTCTGCGAACGCTTCCCATCCTCGCTTTGCACAGTAAAGACAAGGTCTGTTTGGCTCCTGAACTAGTTCAGCCTGATCTCAGGAATGGTAACATCCTCTTCTCCATCCCCGAGTTGGGCGGCATCTTTTCTCCTTCCCATTTGGGACCTTTTGGAAGCGCTGGGGAAAGTGAAGTCTGCCGAAATGTGGAACCTGCGCAATGGAGGAAACTCAAGGAGCACAAGAACAATAACACTTTTTACGTCTATTTAGGTTCAGGTTTTCCTTTAATAGGTTTTTTAAAGAGCCAATTGCAGCTACTTCGGGAAAGGGTGGTGGAAGAGCAATGCAGATGCTCTTAATACTGAAGGGATCAGCTGTTGAGTTCCGGAGCTGTAAGTTATTTTTAACGCTTTGCTGTTTGGAGTCGTGAAAACACAAATCCAAATGGAGAAACTAAAGAATATCATAAAGGGGGTGGGTGGATACGAGAGAAAAAAACAGGAGACTCCGCTTTGGGAGAGCTTCTAAGAAGAGTCTTGGCCTCTAAGAGTCTTGGCCTCCTGGAGCAGTCGGGTGGCCAAGGACTGCAGGTCTGTGCTCCAGGGCGGCGCGGTCTCGGCGTCGCGTGGGCCCGCGGCGGGCGAAGGGCACGTCCACGCCAGTCCGGCCCCGCGGAAACGGCATTTCCAACAACTGTCGGTCCGGAAGCCTGCACAGCCAATGCAAATACGCCCCGCCACGGCTCCTTCCCCAGCACAGCCGACTTCCAGAATCTTTTCTGCGGCAAGCATTTGGCGCGAATAGGATGGGTTTTTTTAAAAGAATCCTGAAGAAGTCCCCGCAGCTGCAGAAGTGCAATGCAAGTGGGGGTCTGTATTGTCGCCCCCCCCCACACACACACACACCTGGGGACGAGCTCTGAGACGCGCTCCGCTGCACGGAAGAGCTTCGGAGGAGGACGCCGGGCCGCGCGGAGCTGTTCCCGCCCTCCCAGCTGAGGCGCGGGCTGGAACCGAAACGGCTTCGGCGGCGGCGGCGGCAGCCACTCAATCCTCCCGCAGTGCTCGCTCCACGTGGAAGAAGCGCCCAACGTTGCGCCTCCCGCTACCTGCCGCGTCCTCTGACCTAGCTGGGGCCCGGGGAGATCCAGAGGGTTGAGGGGTGGGCGCAAGCAAAACTCAAATTTCGCAAGGAGGGAAAGATACTCACGAAAGACGCGCGGCAGACGCGGCCTCAGGACGGAGAAGTGGGGCTGAGCGCTCTGGGCTCTTCGCGGGAGCCCACAAACAGGGCTCCAATTTGGAGGGAATTTTTAAAGACTCAACACTTGAATTCAACACTGCAGACGATTTCTTTTTCTTTCTTTCTTACTTTCTTTCTTTCTTTCTTTTTTCTTTTTTTTTTTTCACTGCAACCCTGTCCCTGATGAAAAGGGATCGTGGTTGCCTAACTGCTGAACGAGTAACCTAGGAGAGGGTGAGCCCGTTAAGATTCCAAGCCCTAAGGGGGTCCGTGATCACAAACCTCCGGGTTTGCTAATCCGCCAATACTGACTTCCAAAACATCCTCAGAGTATTTCTAGGACCCTTTCCGCTCTCCTTATATATGCTATGACCGGAGCGAGGATTTTTTTTTTCTTTAAAGAAAAACTAAACTATGCAGTTACCGCAGGAGATTTAAGGAGGAGGGACGGGGGGGCCATTCGGTCTATAAAAAGCGTCTTACAAAGTCCTGAAGTCTGGAGACGACAGCGGAAGATATAAAATAATTTTTTTTAATCCGACCCAACTTGCCCACTGCTCAAGCCTCTGCTTAAATTCGTTTTCTGTCTAGGAGTGGGAGAGAACTCAGGAAACGATCTTTCCGTGGAAAATTCCACTTTCGTGCAATCCCCGCTTGAACAGACACACACGCAGACACGCACTCTCTCACACACATACACACACCCATTCCTCTCGGGTCTTTGTTGCTCGAGACCTTTTCTTCGCTTTTGTAACTGCCCTGAACCTCTTGTTTCTTTTTCAGAAGGAGACGGGGAGGCAGGCTAATTGTGGATATATGTAAGCACAACATTTTTTCAGTCATAACTGATAAGTTTCTGAAATGCCTTCTGCATTGCAAACATGTGCATCTTAATAGAAAACATTGCTTTTCTCAATCACCAGTTACAGCCTCACTGCAAATATTCCAGGAGGAGGAAAAACCTCCTTTCTTCTCTTTGAGAGATCCGCTTGGCTTCTTCTCTTCTTCTTCTTCTTCCCCCTTTGGAATGGGGGATAGGAAGGGGTGGGGGTTGTTACTTTAAAAAAAATGATCCATCGAAGCCCCTGCCTTACCTTAAGAAATCGAGCCAGCCATCATGAATGATGGACGGATCCAGCTGCAGGGAGAGGAAGTTCTCATTGACTGTCCTGACTGGGTTCTTGGTGCTCACATCGAGTAGAATCAGGGTCTTTTCCTTCAAACCTGGAGCTCTGTCTACAGGCAAGGGTCTCCTGTCTCCAGCTTGGGAGGAAAGGAAGAGATGGAGCAGCAGAGCCAAGGAGAGAGCCACCGGGGCTAGGCACGCGGGGGGGCGGGCGCTGCTGGAGGGCATGGCTTCAGGGAAGGCACAGCGCACCCTCATTAAAATCCCTCTGATTTAAACCTCTCTTCCTACAGGGTCTCGCTGGTGACTAATTGTCCTTATCTAAAGTGTGTGTCTGTCTGCTTTTTCCCCCCTTTTTTTTCCCTTCCTCCCCCCCTTTCTTTTTTTTTCTTTTTTTTTTTCTTCTGTGTTTTGGTGCTGGTGGAGCGAACTCACGCCCCTAGCCAGCCTTCTCAGCGACTCGTGCCAAGAGTACTCGTTCACCAGCACCGCCCCTTTAAGAGATTTCGACTGCAGACATTTTTTAACTTTTTAAAGGTAAGGGGGGTGGGGGGAAGAGGCGGGAAGTAGGAGGAAGGGGTGGCGTTGTACCCTCCTGATTTAACCCTCTAGGGTCAGGAAGCGGAGGGAGGGATCGAAACAGGACTGCTGTAAGTTTCGGGTACGGGGCGGGGCGTCTTGTTTTTACTTCCCTCCCTGCGAGGCTCTGGGGAGGGCGGTTCTAGCTCCGACCCCTACTCGAAAGCCCCAGCGCCAGCTCTGAGCGCGCTGAAGTAGAGTCCACACCAGCCGCGCGCGCCTGTTCTGACCACATCAGGCATTTCGTCCGCTCAGGGCCCTTCCCTTGGGGTTGAAGCTGCAAAGCAAGGGTGGTTAAGTTGCCGAGGGGTCCTGCAGCGGCGGCGACTGTGATTCCTGCCAAAGCATAGAGCACAGGGGGAAACGCCATGGACACAAGTCGGGACCTCTGCGACGCGCTGGGCAGCCATTCAGAAGCATCCTCTGACCCCGACTGGGCAATGAGTAGCCAGAAAGAATACACAGAGTGACCAGATCAAAGGGTTTATTCGTCCGAAGGGGCAAAGGGGCCCAGGCTACGCGTAGCTCCGTTCTGCCTGCAGCCGAAGCGAAAGTGTCTCGGGGTCTTCAATATACGGTGACTTAGGCCAAGTCAAAGCAACCTGGTCTGTGCTTGGATAGTCTGGGCGGCGCTGCGCTCATCTGAGCCACTCACTGCTTGGCCACTCCACTGCACAAGCAGAGCCACCCCTCCAGCGCCTCACGAGGTCAACCTTGGTTTGCCCCTGCTGCCGAGAAGTGCGCCTTTATGGTGCCGGAGAGGAACCGAGTGACAACAGTTTTCAAACTTGGCCCGAAGTCAGCTAGAGTCCTCCCACATGTAGCCCCAGGATGCGCAAGAACAGCATGGACCCGCGCGGTGCACCACCTGCCTTAGCTCATGGATCCCGGACCCACAGCACCTCTCAGCTCCAAACCTGGGGCCCAGACCAAAATGCGGGGAAAAGACCAGGCCCAGTTTGTGCAGTCAGGCCATAGGGCCCACTTTCGGCTTCTTTCTGGAACAAAATGGGCCTTCTGCTTGGCGGATTAAGAGAACTACTTTATGTAGTGTGGTGACGCATGAGCGTCCCAGGGCCTCCTGATATCAAACACGCCAAACTATAAAATGCAGAACAAAGGTTTTTCCCAAGGGTGGACGCACAAAGGGCAATCGCAGAGGCTGCAAATACTGAAATGGCAACCTGTCTCCCTTAACTAAGCAACCAGGAATCCAGAGCTTAGGTTGGGTTAGACTGGGAAGTGCCATGAAGACCTTCTAGAAGCAGGACTACATAAAATGAAGCCAAAGGAGAAAGAAAACCCAAGGCATAGTAAAGATGATTTTTAAAACCAAAATGTCATATACTGAAATAATAGATGTGGGTCCCTACGGCCTGCTTCCTTCAGTCCCTGAAAATTTCTAACACACCTAAATCCTTTAAAATATGTGCATGTTTCTGTGTATGGGTGTATGGTACTGTATGAGTTCCAGTAGAAATTATTGTCATTTTAAAATGTGCACTGAGCACCTCCTAGAGATGATGACAGCTTGGTGAGCAAAGGTTTTAATGCATTTTTGTATCTCCAAACCCAGGCACTTATTAGGCACCAAATAAATGTCTGTAAAATAAATTACTGGTAAAGCAAATCATGCTCAACACACTAAAATCATATACTGTTCTCAAGAAAAATGTGAAAAAATAAATACTTTCATTTGGCACAGTAAATTTTATCTTACGTTTCTATTCAGTCATTTGTTTTCCCAGTTATTAGCATTTTCCTGGTTATCTCCTCCAGGAAATATTTATTTTGCAAATTCAGAAGCGATTAGTTCATTTGCTACATTCACAATTAAAACCAATTATATATTTTTAACAAAGAGTCAGATTTTCCAAGGGCCTAAACATCCCCTGGCTTCCAAGTGAATGTACTTTTAGGAGCCACGTTAACTGGAACCAGAGGAAGACCACTTGAATAAAATAATCAGTCATCCACTAGCTGTTTATAATTAATGTACCTTTCCAAAAAATACCTACTCTTGTGACTAAGGATGAATTTGGGTATAATGAGAATCTGCTTAATTATAATTTTATCCATAATTTGTGCCTACTGATCCAACTATTCTGTAGTTATTTGGTAACCTAACCACTTTAACCCATCTTTAATGTTTTCATCAGAACCTATATGTAGTATAAAAATCAAAAACAACACAAAGTGCTTTGTTTTTAATTCCTGATGAAAACCATCTCTCTAGTCTAGCCACTGAAATTCTATAGTCAAGTTGATATTCAGGACATTGAGGCAAAGAAAGCAATTCAAAAACATTTAAGGAGTTTCAGATAGTCCTGGTTGACTCCGAGATGACCTGATTGTTTGGGCCTGTGCTCTAGTTTGGTTATAGATCTCCACAGGGCTACTCTTTCCAATTAGCCCCCTTTCCTCATAGCATGGCTTTTGTCTTGCCTCCCTAAATTATATGCTGTAAGTAGCCCATTATTAATCTGTATATTAGATTAATATTTCTAGCCTATCTTCTGTGTGCTGGGTGACAACAATCTGCATCTCTGTTCTGTCTTAGACTGTAATTTCCTAGGGGACAAGAATGGGATCTCTCTATAAAATATGAATTACTGGACACTAAATGCATTGAAGTCTCCTTGGAAATGCTCTGCCTGGTGTGAGTGTACCTTATAGATAAATTCCTTTCATAACTAGGAGTCTAGGTTCCCAGACCTGTAAGAAATCTTGAAGATAACTGATTCAGTGATTTCTAGACTATGGGATGTCAAAATAAATATTAGTCAGTGGGGAAGAACTGACATATATTTGCCAACTTTTTATTTTGTCTGGGAAGGTCCTTAAAAAAAAATCTATCAACTACTTTCACTATTACTTCCCAAAAGAAAAGAACTTTTAACAGCCAAAAAAAAAGCTGAGGGGGCCAGCCGAGTGGCTCAGTTGGTGAACAGTTAGCTTGAGAGCACGAGCTCTGAGCAACAGCACCACGGGTTCGATTCCCACATAGGCCAGTGACATTGCGCACGAGCTGAGCTGCCGCTGAGCTGCCAACAGCTGACAGGATGGCTCAGCTGGTGAGAGCACGTGCTCCTAACAACATAACTGCCTGTTCTATGGTGGACTACTACCGCCTGCAACTAAGACTGAACTCAGCACCTTGAGCTGAGCTGCCACCCGGATTGCTCAGTGGATAGAGCGTGCGCTCTTAACAACAAGGCTGCTGGTTTGACTCCCACATGGGATGGTGGCTACGCCCACCTGCAACTAAGATTGAACATAGCACCTTGAGCTTAGAGGCCACAAGCTGCCAACAGGCAGCCAGATGGCGACTGGAGCCCTCCACAACTAAGATTGAACAACAACAACTTGGCTGTTCCCCCTCCCCAATTCCCTAACGCTGTTCCCCTCACCCAACTCCCCAATTTAAAAAAAAAGCTGAAATGATATGTAAAAATAAAGACCAAGTGTTTATACCAAATAAATTTAACTTCATGAAAAATCACTATAATATTTTTATCACTTCATCTCAGACTAGTGGAAATATGCCAGTGACTCACATGGGCACGAAGACTGGTGACTAGTACAAATGACATAGCCTGTTTATGACTAAATTCTACTTCGTAGCCTACAGTGTTGCTGCAAAGTATGTACCAGGTTGGACAATTAAGTTCACAAACTCATCCTACAAAAAGTGCTACATACCTCATTGCTGAATATCAATCACTATGGGTGCCTTCGAAGTACTCCCCTTGCGAAGCTATGCACTGATGCCAGCACTTAGTGGACCCTTCAAAGCAACTTTGGAACTCTTTTTCTGGAATAGCCATCAGAGCTGTTGTCGTATTATCCTTAATGTCATCAAAATGTCTTCCTTTCAATATTTCCTTTATCTTCGGGTAAAGAAAGAAGTCATTGGGGACCAGATCAGGTGAGTAGGGAGGGTGTTCTAATACAGTTATTTGTTTACTGGCTAAAAACTCCCTCACAGACAGTGCCATGTGAGCTGGTGCATTGTCGTGATGCAAGAGTCATGAATCGTTGGCAAAAAGTTCGGGTTGTTTTTGTCTAACTTTTTCACGCAGCCTTTTCAGCACTTCCAAATAGTAAACTTGGTTAACTGTTTGTCCAGTTGGTACACATTCATAATGAATAATCCCTCTGATATCAAAAAAGGTTAGCAACATTGTTGCAACAAGTTAATTGTCAGACCTGTATACTTTTTAATGACAGTCATCCTGACTACAATAATTTCTTTCCACTTTTCCTGTACTTTTTTTCTTTCAGCCTGTCACAAACTCATTGACTCTATATACCTAGCCATAGTTATTTCTATGCCCAGTTTCCCCTTCTGAGAGAACTATACCTACAAATCTAATACCAAGAAAACAATTCTTTCCACCATAACTGGGACTGGGAAGCATGAAGCCACAGCAGCCAGTCCACTGTCTCATCACTACCAGTGTACTTGTCTATGATGACTACTATTTATTGAGATCTTATGGTCCGGGCATGGTATTCAGGGCTCTCCATATGTTACCTTATTAATCTTCCTGAATAACTCTGAGAGGAAGATATAATTCATTATTATAACTAGTTTACATATGAGAAAATTGAGACTCAGAAATGTTAAGCAACTTTCTCATGGTACACAGCTACTAAGTGGCAGCAAGAATTGAAAC